GGTTTTATCATCACGTCAAAAAACGATCATCTGAATGGACTCTCTCCAATCAGCACCATATATCATTCCCGCATACCTGCAGGAGCATGGGCCACCATGGAGAAACACCAAGGATTTGAATATTTAAGCTCCTTACTCCCAAAAGGAACGTATTTTTCTACTTCCATCTTACGAATCAGAAGATAGACTTTCTCCACTAACACCACGTTCAGCATTAGTAAGAGGACCTCCCCAGATTCCCAGAGCCACACTTTCACCATCCCTAAGTTTCTCTCATTCCTTGATCCAGTCTTTTTGATTGGTAAATCCTGGGGGCACACATCATTAGAAGTACTTCCTCAACTAACACCACATCCAGCATTAGTAAGAGGACCTCCCCAGACTCCCAGACTCCCAGAGCCACACTCTCACCATCCCTAGGTTTCTCTCATTCCTTGATCCTGTCTTTTTGATTGGTAAATCCTGGGGGCACACATCATTAGATGGACTTCCTCCACTAACACCACGTCCAGCATTAGTAAGAGGACCTCCCCAGACCCCAACAGGCACACATCAGTAGACGGACTTCCTCCACTAACACCACGTCCAGCATTAGTAAGAGGACCTCCCCAGACCCCAACAGGCACACATCAGTAGATGGACTTTCTCCACTAACACCATGACCAGCATTAGTAAGAGAACCTTCCCAGACCCCAACAGGCACACATTAGTAGGACTTCCTCCACTAACACCACGTCCAGCATTAGTAAGAGGACCTCCCCAGACCCCAACAGGCACACATCAGTAGGGATATTTCTCCAATAACATCACGTTCAGCATTAGTAAGAGAACCTCCCAAGACCCCCAGCGGCACAATCTCACCAATTCCTCATTTCCTGTCATTCCTTCATCTAGTGGCTTTGGTTGTCAGACCCCAACGGGCACACTCTCACAATCCCTTATTTCCTATCATTCCTTCATCCAGAGTTTATTAATTTGGTTTATTATTTGCTTGATTGATGAGAATATTTTAACTTTATAATTTGGTTATATTTTAAATTTATTGTTTAGTTTTTAGATATTTAAAGTTAACATTTTAAAGTTTATATTCAATATTAATATCTGTTTAGTAATCTTGTCAGGTGTTCAGTAGACGTGCATGTGCCATGTTTATATTTCAATCTAGTACATACAGTTCTAATTTAACTCATTACCTTGTAAAAGTTTCCAATGGTTTACACATGCTTGCTTGTAACTTGGCTTTGTGTTATCAGTGAAGTAAGTTCTATCGTCTCTGTGAATCCCATGAAGTATTCTTTCTAGAAAAAAAATATTTTAGTATGATGTGTGGGCTCCCTGTGCTTAATGCTATTTTTTTCAGTGCATTTATCATCACTTATTGTCGAATTATGGTCGCATGACACAGAGCTTCCTCATTCTTAATATGCATGATGTTCAATCAAATGCTAAAGATCCAGAAATGCTCTAGTATCCTGCAGCCAAAAAATCTGGTGGGTCTGTATACATTAACACTTCAGTGTCACTGATAAGAATTCATCTTAACCAGTAGATAGATTTATTGGATGAGCATTCACTTATCAACTGGATAAGGATTTATGTATTGAATAGTAAATACTCCAGTTTAGAGTTCTCTTTGCTCAGCTTTATCATGGTTGTGTGTTACAACCTTCTTACAACCGGGCCCTTAAGATTTTCTATGGGGCAAAGTAAAAACATGCATGCTTTTGGTCCTAATGTCACCCTTTTCCTGAGAGATCGTGCAGTTAAGATATTTCATATCCGCAGGGCTTAAAATAACAGCGGATCAGTCATTGGTTACGATCATATGCCAAATTAGTTTTAGCTTAGTCATACCTCATTTCTGGCAAAACGTTACCCAAAATGGCCAGTAAGGCACATATTTAACCGGACAAGTCCCAGTTCTAGCCAGATATAGTCCAATTGTCCAGCCGTTATTCTAAGCCCTGACCTGGTGTCCATAAGACCCAGTTCAGCAAGTCAGAATGCAGCTCAATTTGGAGGGCAAAACAACTGGATTCCAATTCTTATGAGATTGAAATTCTTTTGTTTTGTCCTCCAAAAGCTGAGCTGTTTTGATGTCCCATGCAAGGGGTCTATAGTAACTAGACTCCAAGGGAAGCGCGGTGGCGTAGCGGTGATAGCGCAATGCCTCTCACCAAGCTAACGTGACCTGAGTTCAAGCCTCGCCAAGCTTGGTGTTGTATGCGAGTTGAGTTTGTTTGTTGGTTGTCTCCTGTGATTCTAGGGATATTCTCCAGGTACTCCAGTTGGTGGGTACCTCAGGTAAAACCAACTCGGACACCCCTCCCCAGCCATGCCAACCATAAGAATGCTTTTATGTTTTAACACCTACTCATCACATGGCCTCTTTCTTTAGTATCTACAGGCAACTGATCATGAGCTATTGATACTAATGCATCATGATTCAACCCTGGCTTTGAATTTAGGCAAAAGGGATGTTTCAACTTAAGTGTATATTTATCAATCATTCAAAATATAATTCAATATTAGCATAAATACCTTGCTTGTTATTCATCCCTGGTATCATTGTTTGTTTGTTCGTCTGGTCAGTGGAGTGCTGTCATCTCAGTATAATTTTATATCCCATATCCCATGACGTTTTTTCACTGTAAATATGAAAAAATGCTCTTTACTTTTATTATGTAAAAAAACCTTTGTGCAAAACTTGTGCAACACTTGCAATTATTTATGGTTTTGCATGCATTTTAAATTAAAATAAATCTAGACTCCTACCCAGATGGCACTCACATTTTTGTTAATGAAGTGGCTATTCGTACGTCACCCTTACGGCGATTTGTATTTGATCTTCCAACATTTACCAAAATTTTTCACTCCCGTACAAATAACAATCGCGAATAATTCGTACGGGAATGAAAAATGTTGGCAAAAATATTCGCTGAACCGCGACTCCCGTACGAATAACAATTGCGAATAATTCGTACTGGAGTCGTCAGAAATTCTATTGCGTGACATTCCCCGCCGGTGTCACTGACCTCAGACTACACGAAACAAATTCGCGAAAGTGTCGCGAAAGTGAGTTGTTCTCTACTGAGTACAGACTCGTCAAATAAGTTTGAATCAAAATAACATCACTGACATGAATCGCCTAACTGGTCTAAACAAAAGTATCGTTATTAGGTTGGAAAAAAATACAGAGTTCCCGAGAAAATCGACGAAATTTTTGACTCCCGTACGAATAGCAAATACTACAAGTCGCCCTACGGGTGACGTACGAATATGCACAGGAAGGCTTTCGAAGGCTTTGCGTAGTCTTATAAGACCACAATACCGCAGGCCTAAACCCCACTAAATTTATTTTTGACCGTTTAAAAATTCGTACAGTATTGAACATGAAAAATAACGCTTGTGTAGAGGTTTTCTGGTAAGAAGCTAAACTGGTAGGCGGCCATATTTGAAATAAACGTGTGACGGACAGCGAGGCTTCAAACTCGAGAAATGTAAAGTATTGTTCGTGGTTGAACAATAAAACAAGCATAAATACCTTCTAGTTTCAAGTGTGCTTTCATATTGACTCGTAATTCATCATTGGAATCATAAATTTTCACTTTTTTTCGGCTTCAATACCGCCTGCAACTCCTGCTCCTTGCTTACCCGAGCTGCTCTGAATCGAAGGCTTGTGTATGAATACAAGCGTGCARCCTTGCAACATTGATGGCACGTCGGAATGCTGAAGATGTGAAGTTTTAAAATACCCGGCCTAAAACCTTCATTTAATTTCCTCTTATTGTTCTATACTAGTCAGGGGGAAATATTTCCCCCGAAAAAAGGAAGAAAAGAACGAAAGAAAATATGAGGCTAAGGGATAGGAAAAAAAAGAGAGAAAAAGAAAGAAAAAAAGAAAAAAGAGTAAAGAGAAAGAATTAAAGACGGAACTTCAAGGAGTCCTTGCTAATATAAAGAGCAGAATACTTGTAATTATTTTAATTCCAATTTCATTCTACTGAGCGTTATAAAGAACATGATTGTCTTCACAAGATCTCACCAAAGGGGGGTTCCACCCTGGATCAGCCATTCATACGCCCAGTACAAGAAGGGAAAGAAAAGGCCTATTCAAATGGTTCAACAATTACAAAATGTTTTATCTCATGCCAGTTATGTTTTCAATTTTTTATTTCACTTTCCCAATTCATTTACCAGTAATACGACATTTACAATACAAAATAATACCAAGGATTTGAAGCGATATTGCCGATTACACATTTTACTTATGATAAATTAGAATATTGATGGATGTTCAATGGTAGGTTATAGCAGAGAACACCAGGTGCAATCGTTCAATCGTCCATGATTCTTCATAGGATTTCCAAATCAACATGACGAACTTCTGGATTCTTTTTCTAAAATAAAAATAAGTGACCTTCTTTTCATGATAACTTAACCAATTTGTTATAAATAATTAGATCAATCATTCAAACATCAACCAATCAGCCATCAAATAAAATGACAGATTCAGGATAATTTCAGGGGAGTGGCTGTTACCTAGAACAGGCCGAATTCTTGGGGTGCTTGTTAAGTCATAGCCGCCGTTTTGRTTGACTATGCAAAGCATTCCTCATTAAAGCTTCTTTTGTTAGATCAACCAACATGGCGGCTGTTTCATTGCTTTTTATATCTCAAGGGATTTTTTGGTCACGTTGTTGCACTCCAAGAATAGGTCATTCAAAGATCCAACAATAGCTGGAATATATGATTTTTATAGAACGAGGAAGTTAGTGTTGAGATATTTGGTGTTGTGAATTTTAAACACCACGATTCGTTTTAATATGTATGCCCATAATTCCTTGCCCTCTAGAATGACCTATCGCCTCTCCCCTTTGGCATCGACAACCTATTATAAAGTAGGTGTAAAGTAAATGAGCTTGAAAGCACGCAGTTAGGTACCTACCTTAATGTTCTTCTCAATACGATCCACTTGCTGTCCCAGCACATCAATAACTTGTTCTCCATACTCCAGCATAAACTGCTCCAACTCTTGCACTGTCGTAAGCTTATGGACTTCCTGTTGTAAGTGTATCAAAAATGTCAAAGGATCAGCGATCTACCAAAAACCAGTGGGGGTGGGGTGGGGGTTATTGTACTGAACTTGCGAAGCAGGGTGTGCTAGAGTTAATTTTTCTGTTTTTTCCTACTAGATGTTCAGTTAATGATGGAGTGGAAGTGCTTGTCTCTCTCACTAATGTGACCCATGAATACATAAGGAATTTAGGAATGTGAAACAGCGGAGCTGTTTGTTGACTCACTCTCTCTCTCTCTCTTCTCATCTTACCGCTAACATCTGCTCCATGTCCACTCTGCTTATATGACAGCGAGTAATCTCACGACCATCGAAGTTCACCTCAGCCTTAAATCGAACAGTATCGGCACCTGTGATAACAAAAAACATCAGGGATCCTTGGATTTAACTGCCAACATTAAGTTTAACCGCTTACTACTAAAGAAATAGAAAACGCGCGCGCGTGCTGTGTGCAGTTATAAAGCACGCGAGAAGTGTTAGGAGAAGCACGACGCGTAGCGGAAAGCTTTTCGATACTTCCCGCTACTTCTCGAGTGTTTTGCCAACCCTCAAGTGCTTTATAGCTCCACACAGCACAGCAAGCAAGTTTTTTATTTCTTTTATAAAATACAAATTACAGGAATGACGAAACTGGAAGTGCGCGCCCGTGCTGTGTGCTCTCATAAAGCACGCGCTCTCAACCAATCAGAAGGCAACATTTATACCAGTTATTTTATAATTCTTTATTAGTACATAACGATTGTTATCACTCACCCATTTCTGTAGCCTTAACGTCATGGATGGAGCGTACAATAATATCACTTTCCAATACTTCAATAATCTGTTTTAACCGTGCTGGAGGCATGGATCTACGAAATGTTAAACAACAGTTTTGAGATTTTAAACGACAGAAAATCTAGACTTGATTTTCATGACAGCAACAACAAAAAATAGGACAAATGGCAGATTTTCTCCCTTTTACAAAAGCTTCCCAGAATTGTCTAGAAATGTAATAAGCGTGCGCAACTCTATATTGTGATAGAAGGAATATTTAGCAAAGGAACCTAAAGGCAAGGTAAAGGCGCATATTGCGGCGCGCTGTCATCTTCAAAAGCAGCGCCCCCCTAATCATTTGTAGCCTTTTTCACCTCCTGACGAAGACAGTTAACTTGAAGACGACGGCACAGACCACATACTGCAGAGTTGAATGGTGCGCAACCCGAAGAAAGAGTTGTTTTTTGAACAGATTACTGAATCTCTGAGTCAGTTATATAATGATATTTCCAAAAGCTTTCGGCATGCTTACCTTCCTATTAGAAAGTCGGCATTCCTACTGATTAGAAAAAATGCTACAGTACCTAAAAGACCTGAGGAAAAAAAGAAAGCGTTCATTAAAAAGCCATGTAYACCAAAGCAGTGATTTATACGTTATCATGGCTAAAAATAGAAGATGAAATAATATACTTGAACAATATCCGAGGGACGGCTTTGTAAAGTTACGAAAGACCACGGCTCAAGACACGGTCACGGTACATAATGAGAACTTTTGAAGAAAGGGCGCAATATTACTACCCGTCTACAATGGCGCTACAACCATCAACCTTACTACGTACACTGCACAATCTTTCCCATGAAGTGGCTGGTAAAATAAAAGCTGGCCTAATGGTAGGGAAGGCAGATACACGCATATACATACATACATACAGAGTTGCTTTTGCAGTCATACATAATGTTCCCTGTCATTAGATATAAGTACTGTAGTGTTTACCTCCAATCATGAGAGATCCAATGGCATCGTATACTGGGCTTCCCGTGTAGGACGCTAAACCAAGACACAAAGCAGCTAAAGTAACACCAGTAACGGCCGCACCATCTTCCATCAGTACCGCGATGGATGTAGGGTCTCTACCACGTATCACTGAAGAAATAGAAGTATTAAAGATAAAGTAAATGATGATGATGATGTGAATGTAGATGATACATGATAATGATGGTGATACATAATGATGATGATGATACATGATGGTGATACATGATGATGATACATGATGATGATACATGATGATAATACAAGATGATGGTGATGGTAGTGATCGTGATGATGATGATAGTGATGATGACTGTCATGATGATGATGATGCATGAAGATAGGAATATATGATGATGATGATAGTCATGATAGTCATGATGATGATGATACATGTGGAAGATGATAGTGATGGTGATAATGATTGTGTTGAGGATAATGATATGGATACATGAAGATGCTGATACATGGTGCTTGATGATGATAAGCCAACATTAAGCCAAAATTTTGACACAAAATTGTTGGCAGACCCTGACAAATGTCCCAAATGATGTGTCAATTGTTGGGACCATTTGTCAGGTTTGTCATTGATAGATTGATGGTAGGGTACACGTCAGTAGGTATAGCTAGGTTATTGGCGTCAATTTTGTTGAGCGTATAGTTTTAACAAAAAATCGAGATTTGTGYGATTTCCTATACAAATTCCAAACATTCCATGTGTACAAATACTACAGTATCTAAATGACATTAAGTATTACAATAAGGAATATGACAATGATCACATAGATTATATTCAGCCAACAAATACTTACAATATTCTCTTAATGATACCCCACTTTCTCTAGCACTGATCTTTAATTGGTTGAGTGCAACAATTAAAGATGCTCCTTCCATGATGAATGATCCACCAAGAATTGTATACGCCTAAAAGTTAATTAAAAATAACAATGAATTTACATCCATTGCCATGTTTCAGGGGCATTTATAAGTGAGGTCTCTATAATAGGGGTGGGGGGAAGAGAGGACTGTGTACCATTTTCAGAATCCTGCATAAGTTGATACCCTGTAGAACAGAGAATTCGAAGTATAAGCTGTTCAAGGCTTACTGGGTTGCCTGTGGAAAGACGGTGTGCTTGTAAAGCCTTTCATGGCCAGTTAACCCCATTATATTTGGGTAGAGAAAAATGTATATCCAACCTTTATGAACTTACTATTCATGCTTGCATATGCCATTATGTTTATGCTTGGGTCACTAGTGAAGTCCAGGGTCATAACTTACCACTAACAGATTCTCTAGAGTGGTGGGGACTATGAGAGAACACACACCATGATACACAGAAACACCTGCACCAAGGAAGAAGATCCCTACTCCACTGATGAGAGAGTAGACATATCTTGCTGTTGACCAGCCATATCTGGAAAACATGAATGGAAGAATGAATGGATGGATTGCAATATGCAACATTCACTCTTTTGGGAAAAAAAGTTTCCAATGTTTTTCATTGCTACACACTGCGACATAAGTTGCAACTGGGTAATCGGCAAATAGACTACAGTCAATCGAATGATTGGTTCTGTTTCTGATTCACCTGTTGCTACTGTTGTCTCAATCAGTGTGTAGCAATAAAAGCAGTGGTAAAATGTTTCCTGACTCTTAATGATTGAAAGTATAGTTATGTAACAACTYACGGATGATCTGTGGAAGGTTTCTTGATGGATTGTCTAATACCTATTGCTAATAAACACTAAAATAGGAAAAACAATAATCGTGGTAAATTAATAGTTAACAGATYTTGACAAAATGAGCAATTTCAAATGTTTGTCTGCATTGATGTAATCCCCATCTACAAGATAACAATATGCAATCACATTTGGGGACTACAGAGCACTCTTACTAAAAAACAGGTAGCCTAACGGTTAAAGTTGAGTAAGGTTCAAGTGGCTGTATCAAAGAACCTGTTGAATAATTTATGTAAGAGTAGGAGATTGCCTCCCAGTTCAACACCTGTCCCAATTTGGAGGCATAACACTAACTAACAATTCACACTCATAATTTTAAGCTGCACGGCTCCTAATAGCACCTTAAATGCARCTTGTAAAGTTCTCCACTGGTCATGCATTTAAAAGGCATTGAGATAAGAACTTACGACTATTATTATTATTATGGCTATATTCAATATGCATCCTATACCTGGTTTAGTAAGTCAGCTAATGAATGTATGGATTCTGACAGCATTGTTGCTGATCCTGTGTAGAAGTACGCACCAAACTTGAACAACATGACTGATAAATTACTGTGGAAACAATGACAAAACATTGAGATATTTGTACGCCATCAACGGTAAATATCTGTGTCATAGACACCATGCATCAATAAACATCTTTACCTCAGGCATAATGTTTTTTCCAGTTTACACTACTTATCATTCCCTAGCCTATCATTTCTTTGTTTATTGATGGCACATATGTATTAAGAAACATGAATATGGATAACAACTCAAACAAAGAACCTTAATCTCAAGAGAATTATACTTGTCTGAAATAGGGAAACATTGAAAGGTCTATTCTCAGAGCAGCTCAATTTGGAGGACAAAAAAAATGGGTGGAGGGGGGACTAAATCATAGAAAATGGGAGGAGAGAGAAGGGAAATAGTCCAGCCCCCCCCCCCCCTCCTCCCACCTCTCTGTGGTTCCTGTTCTGGGAATTGAAGCAAGGGGGCTCTATTGAATATCACTGCATGCTATCCTACCTTAACATGGCATATCCTACTACTCTTGCAGAGCCTCTTAATTTAAGTTCTCTCTCATTTGGGCCACCAAGAAGCTAGAAAATCATAAAATGTGTATTATTCGGATTCACTATCCACTGTTAATATCACTCAAAACAATATTTCTACTTCCCCAACAGAGGGGGTATTATTTTTATTTCTCTGAATTATTTTTCTGTGTGCATAAAACATCTAAACACCTTCTTTGGGGATTTGAAATATCACTGAACAGTCTGTGTGATGATTTGCAGCTCTCTCTTTACAAATTCCAAATGTAAGTCAAACAGAACAATGCCTTAATATTTAAGCGAACAGCAATGAATTATGGTACAAGTTTGGATTTGTAACCCGATACTAACCATAGTTTCATGGCTGCGKCGTGAATGATCCTTGACTGATTTCTTTAAATGACCAATTAATGAAGCCAAACCTTGATAGAAGATAAGAAAAATATAATTCAAAAATAACCCAAAACAAAGACAATTGTGGAAAAAAGCATGGGATTCTTTCAACATGGCTGGTGTAAAGTAATGATATTTTTCGGCTTCAAACATTTTGGGAATTATAGAATTTTTTATTTATTTGCAACTAATGTTATGTTAAGTCATTAGATATTACTCTGTAGATGAATTTTAATCATTCTTTGGTAAAAAATGGAATTTAAAAAATACTACTTAAAATAATGACAATGTTGACTATTATCATGGTAAAACTAGATGCCAATGAAGATCAATCTTACCTTTCCGAAATTTTTCATCTTCTTCCAGTGCTTTTTTCCTGAGCCATATTTCCTTTGCAAGGGCTTCGGGACTGCCCCATACCTCATGAGCCCTGGAAAAAGTATTTACAATTTTTATAACTCTATTCTCCCTTCAAACTCAACCACTTGAATCTTTTCTCAAACATTTAAAAAAAWTTTTAATTCATACAAAAATTGTGACAGACAAGCAAGGTGACATGGTATAAAACTAACAATATTGGCTACGTCTAGGCCAATCACAGATACTCATATTGAGTGCCGTCATCTTAATACAGTACCTACACGGCACTCTGTGAGTCCTCCATATTATATATGTCCACTAACCTAACAGTCATAGAAAATCTGTTCTGTAATATATACAGTGGTAACTTTGTTAAATTGACACCTTCTGGACTTAATTTGCCTGTATGGTGTCTGCTTTATAAGGTGTCTGTTGGCTTACTGCAGTTTTCAACATTATGCTCAGTAGTKGCAACTGCATGCTGAAAGTTGTTTTTTTCCCACTGCTGTCAATCAAAAGTAATCAACCTGTACCTTAAATATTTTTATGAATGACAGCAATGAAAAACCAAAATTTCCAATGGGCAACTTGCAAYTACTACTGAGTAGAAAATAGCAGTAACAAGGGTATTTGCAGAATGTCATAGATAAAACCAAGATTAGGATTACCTYTTTTCCACATCTGATTTCAGGAAGTACCGATCAGTTGGATTTTGAGTTGCAGTATATGCACTTCTCACAGATCTTGTCTTCAGTCCTTCAAGATCACTAGATTATAACATAATATCCATTGGTTAGTTGAGGGTGGATTGACACCCAACAATTCGGTTCCAAAAGCTAGAACTGAAGAGAAAACGAGTATGTGTAACTTTAATCTGTTTAACAGTACTAATAAAATATATTTTACACTAAATTAGTACAAAATAGTGCCAAAACTGTAGTTTTCTATTGTTTCATTATTGCTATATTTATATCACACTCAAAGTATGATTTAGTGCTAATATTGCCTTTTTGCAAATACTACTTCTGTTTTATGAATAGACTTGTACTATTATTAAATACCTGGGCTTCAGGAGATAATCACTCATGGCTCGTGTATCAGAGATGAAGGTGTTTTCATAATATTTCTTGTTAAAATCAATCTCTGTGACATCTTTTTTGATGAGTTTCTTGATAATACCACCTAAAAAGAAGGAAAAAGAATGATCAGTGCATATRTAGCTTGAACCCTTACATTGCAATCTCAAACTCTGTTCTATTGAATGCTTGCACAATAGGGTGAGCAGTAGGGAATGGGGAAAGGATGTCTTCGTACTTAAGCCTATAGATGCCAACCCTTTGAATATCCAAGGCTACCCCTTTTTCTAGAGAACATGCTCAGAGAATATTATTCTCAGGCAAAGTAATATAATATCAAGTGAAATAAATATRTTTTATCAGCAGAGTACAAATATTGCAGGAGAAAGCCTGGATTAAGTAGAAATATCCTGCTACATTTGCAGCACTCTTGGTTATTATTTCATACAGTAAAAAAAAAAAAACCAGTTATTGAAAAATAGTTTAGTAAACTCTCCCCATTTCAATTTGAATTGAGCTTATCAATGGTTTAATCAATTTACCTGACACTTCATTATTCCTGACTTGCCCACTTTCAACCTTTGCAGAAGATGGATGCTTTTTCGCATTTGTCTCAATCTTGTCATTGTTGCCATCACTTTTAGATGTGAATGGCTTGCCAAGCACAAATACTTGTGGTCTAAATTTCTTTGGTCTCAAGAGAGTATGATAAAACTGGTTCTTGAAACATGCTGTCAAATCAGAGCAAAATACCTATTATTACAGGGCTTAAAATAATGGCCAATCATTGGACATTGTCTGGCCAGAATGGGAATTTGTCAAATCTTTGCTTTGCCAATCATTTTGACCATAAAAGCTTAACCAGAAATGAGATAAGATGGAGTTAAAACTAATTTGGCCAGTCATCACGAAGCGTGACTGACCATGCACTCATCATTTTAAGCCCCCCTTTATTCAACATTTATATCTCTTGCCCCATTATCACTTAACATACATAATTTTTTCTTTGTTAGTAAGAGAAGAGAGAACTTCTTGTCAACAAAGATTATTCAATGCATGTGAGTCATGAAGTTCACAAGCAAAATTCATCCTACAATCTGTTATGCAACAAAATTAACATTACTACGAGTTGCCCACATTACTGGCACTTTTAGGTTTGAACCACAGCTGTGAAAGGCAAAAGTTTTGGTATATGTGTCACCCATGCCAAAAATGCAAAGAGCAATCAGAAAAATGTATTACAACCACACTATATGATCAGCAAAATATGAGTTTGAGGTATGTATTGAGCCAGCCAGAAGACTAAAGTCTATAGTAGAAAATTTTCTTAAACAAAGTACCCGGGGCAGACCTACGTATATAAAGACATACACAATACCTGTAATTGTTATCATTCGTTCTATTTAAGAACTGCTTTTGTACAAAAGCTAAATGTTAAAGTGTGTACATCAGCTGGTAATTAAATCTATAACTAACGSTAATTATTGTACATGCCAATATGTACACAGATGTTCTACTATACTTACCCCTACAGAAGAGCGCATCTCCCAGCCAGAATAATGCAGTTCTTGTGGAAGACATAGAACGAACTTTCTCTCCTCTAAGAAAGACATAACCTTTCCTYAGAACAGCAATGTTTGGTTTGTAAGTCTTGAGCAGGTACAAGGCTCGAAGAGTACTCATCTTCACAAAGCCTTTCAACAATGAAAAACAACTATCTATCCATTCCTTTTCGGTAAAAAATTCTTACAATAAGATCTCTTTAGTATTACACGGTACTAGGATATCGTTTGACCGTTGTGGGGTAAATTAAAGACAAACGAAGTGATAAATGCTAATTTTGTTCATTTTTGCGT